GGTTAGGCCTAAACCATGACATGAAGGTGTATGAACAAACTCTGGCTTCAAGCTATCACATTTAATTAAAATTATTGAATAAAAAGTGAGTTTTGCACACAGTACATATATATAGCCTAACCTCTGAAACTCAATAGCTAGTCTGCTACATAGAATCATAGAATGGTTAGGGTTGGAAGGGACCTTAAAGATCATCTAGTTCCAACCGCCATGCCATGGGCAGGGCCACCTTGCACTAGACCAAGTTGCTCAAAGCCACATCCAGCCTGGCCTTGAACACTTCCAGGGATGGGGCATCCACAGCTTCTCTGGGCAACCTGTTCCAGTGCCTCACCACCCTCTCCGGGAAGAATTTCTTCCTGACATCTAATCTAAACCTCCCTGATTTCAATTTATACCCATTACCCCTTGTCCTATCACTACAGGCCCTTGTAAAAAGTCCTCTCCCAGTACCCTTGTAGGCCCCCTTCAGATACTGGAAAGCTGCAATGAGGTCTCCTCGGAGCCTCCTCTTCTCCAGGCTGAACAAGCCCAGTTCTCGCAGCCTTTCGTCATAGGAGAGGTGCTCCAGCCCTCTGATCATCTTGGTGGCCTCCTCTGGACTCGCTCCAAGTGGTCAATATCCTTCTGATATTGAGGGCTCCACAGCTGGACGCAGTTAAAATCAACAATAATATGGTGAGAGTTGAAGACTAAAGGATGCTATAACCAAAAGGGCATCTTCTCTGGTCAAGGAAAGGTAGGAGTCATCTTCGCCTGCTCCCTACAGGGGATTAAGGTAGCATAAAACCCCTCTGACACCTTAATGTCTGATCTCAAAATCCTCTGAATAGGCATGTGGTTTGAAAGGAATGTCCTTTCCTGTGCACTTGCCTTGACCGAGCTAGAATTTAGCAGAAAGTTTCTAGGAAAAAATGTTAAGCCTATCAGTGAGGTTATGTCTTCACCTCCGCTGTCTACTGGTAAAACTTCCCTTTCAGAATGGCTGCAGCCATGCACAACACTGGAAAATGACATACCTTCTTTAGCAGCTGTTTCCTGCTTCTAGCTAAATTCCCTGATTCCTAGCCATGACACCTCACAGGTCTGCAAGTGTAGTCTATGTACAGCTAAAAGATGTGCCAGAAAAACAAGGTTAGAGCAAAGATTCTGCTACTTGGGTTAATAAATATATTTTGGCTTTCATTTTCAATAATTTGAATGGCAAAATAACCCAACAAAAATTTGTAAATGTGGTTGTTCTATGCATAGACAAAACACTGGAATGTTAGCACTACATCATAAATGATGGCATTTCTAACACTGCCTTTGGTTCCTTTCCGTCATCAAGAAAATTCCATGAATAAAAAAGTATACTGGTGTCATTCCCCTGGCTAGCGTGCCATGCAAAGTAGAAACAGTTATAGAAAGCTCTAACTCCACTAAACTTTGGCTTTTTACCAAACCCAATAAGGGAAGTTAATGGTAAAATGCACAGGGCACCAGTAAACAGTGCTGAGTAGGAGGGACCATCTCTATACCTTCTGCCTTGGGGAAAATTAGCAAAGGCTTATAATCATCCTTCCCTGAAATTAGAGGTAAAAATAACAGTGTAAAGTTGTATTCTGCACTTCACCCTGCCATCCTTTCCATCCCGTCTTTATTGATTAAAGAAGCATTCATTGTTTTAAAATTGGGTTTTTTTAAGCCTTGGCTTCTTGGGCTTTTAAGAATCAATGCACTTGCTACAACAACTGGATGCAAGGTTGCTACTGAATTTATGTGTGAAATGTACCATGATCATGTTTCCAATTTATGAAAGCTCTTCCTTTCCTCTGCATAAATGAGTATGTTGTCATTTGGCTGCCTTGAGATGTGCCTGCAATGTGCAAGAGCGTAAGCTGGGGAGACATGCTCAAAGAACAAGAATCATCTGTTAAACTGTACATTTAACTGTGTAGCGAACAAAACAATTTATAAGTTTCTGAAAGTTGCAAAGAGCATTCCAACTCAGATGTGTGAAAATGGGGATTGATTTGATGGGCCATGATACCTCTCCCTAAGCTCTGTGATGCTTTTTTTCTATAGCATTGGAGGCATGAGGTAGCATCTCCAATAATTTTCATTTCTTCATAGTTGCAAATGTGAGCTTGAACTTCATCATCAGGACAGATACTGCTTTTTTGCTCTGAGGATAACTTTAAGTCACTAGCCCAAGGCTTGACAAAAGTGACTAGTGATTTTAAGTTCCCTCTCTAAACTGTATAAATGGTAAGCATGTGACTGCAGGAGGAATTCACACTCTCTTTAAAAAACTGCAAACTGAAGTTCCAGCAAAGGAAGCATCCAAAATTTGGAGTGGTTGGAAAGTCTTGTTTTCTTTTACCGTATTGCTAACAATGTGGTAAACTGTGGTACACAGAAATGATACAACATAGAGCTGAACTGTGGATCTCCTTGCTGCAGGATGTTCTGAAAGCTGAATGTTTATGTTGAATCAATATTTATTTGGAAAAAATAAAATCATAGAAGGAAAATGCATGAGGGCTCTTAAACATAAAAATTGTGTCTCAGGAAGTCTCTGAGCTGCAGGTTACTGGAAGTTGGGTGAGTAGCACAGTGGCATGATGTTGGGCCAATTCTCACTGTATTCCCTAGGTATCTATTGTTGGTCACCACTGGAAACAGGATGCACTAGACTGATTTTTTAACTGATTTTCTGCAGCAGCTCCTGCATTCTTGCATTATGTTAACGATAGAGGTAGACAAAGGTCAGCCCTAACTTATTTTACTTACCTGTGATTTAACAGTGATGGTAACACAAGTCATTAAAATAGACATGAACAGATAAAGAGCATTTCTTTTTTATTCTGCTCAGGTTTGATATGAACACGGATCTTTCAGCTGTGTCTCAGTAATCACAAGAAATCAGGGAGCTGTTTTGTGGCTGACAGAAGGGAGGAAATGGGTTGATGAATTGTCAGCACCAAACATAATACAGGATAGAGTTGAATGAACCTTCAAAAACAGCTCACAGAGCCTACAATCCAGACTTAGTGAAGGTAATGGTGAAGGAAATTTGGACCCTATCCCAGTGCTACTTTTCAAAATGATTGAAATCTGAGAAAGAGAGAACCAAGAGAAGAAACCTCAGAAATCCATTTATATGGAAAGTATTCCTCTCCTTCAACCCACTCTCTCAATCTGCATATACGTGTCTCAACAGTTAAATCATGCAACCTAGACATCTCTGAAACTACACACCTTCAGGGAAGTGTAATCCCTCTCTTCCTGAAGGTTAACTTCCCAGTTGTTCATGCACCTACAAAATACTGTGGATATCTGAAGGACGGATTTTTTTTTTTTTTTTTACAGAGGATTTGATGATCTTTAAGGTCCCTTGCAACCCAAACCACTCTATGATTCTTCCTGTAGTGTCAGCATGAAGCAAAAAAACCCCAACAGATTGATACTATCTTTTGTGAGAAAGAAACTAAAGAGACAAACCAGCGAGATCCCAATCAGGAGTAGCTGTTCTTTGGCACCACTGCAGGTGCCAGCCACTCCCAACGGTGGCACCAGGAGAGACAAAGTGATGACATCATCTCATCTTTTCATGCCAGCAATCTTTGCCAGAATGAACAGTGTGTACACTGCACCCACTATGCGCTGAGAAGCTCTGTGACAGGCTGAGTCACACTAAATATCCTGTGAAGCACCTGACAGGACTGATACTCTGCACCACACCCTGATACAGAGCTGCAAGAACAATCAAGCTCTTCATTTGCAGAAATGCCACCCATACACAGCAACAAAATCTAACAAATGGCATGATCTGAAAGTCTGGCATGTTCTGACAAAGCATCTCAAAATCTCTTGCTACTCTGGGGTCTGGAAGACAATACACTGCCCATATACTCCTTTCTACATGGTTCTTTTGAAAATTAGGAATGAGTTCTCATAATGGCGAATAAGATGATAATATGCTCCAGAACTTGATCTTTCAGGATTTTCATCATTCCAATTAAACATAAAAAAGACATGTATGCGAACATATGAAACTGTTAATAGCTCAGATATAAAGCTGACACACAGGTATTCTTAGGAAATCACATCCAAATGGAAATAACAGGCAATAATCAGTTTTATATTATTAACAACTAGTTTTTAATATCGTGGAGGTGAGTGTATAGAGTCTTTTGTCAAGTAAAGCTATAGGTGAGGTATTTTTTTCTAAAGGTACAACATGGAACTGAGACTGCAAAGTCAGTGCAGCTTCTGCTCACCCAGACAAGCAAGGGCTTGATAAACCAAATTTGCTCAATCATTTCATCCGTATATTTAACATTTTCACAGGTAGGTCACTTAACACAATCTACCTCCCAAGCTTTTGGAGGAAATGTAACTGCTGACACAGATTCTGTCCCCTGACATCTGCTGTTACATCATATGAAGGACTATCTCCAAAATCAAGAAAGCCTTCCAATAACCAACCAGCTCCCACTGTAAGAAGTGGGGGTGGAACATAAGGCATCACAACAGAATTTATTCAAAGCATGGGGAACTGACTTCAAAGTTTCATTCTATCTGCTTCAGAGAGATGGGCTACAGGTGGGACTGTACATATTTACATGGCATCATAACCTGGAAGCGTATTTCAGGCCTCCTTATCTCCCATTAGTCACTTTGTGTCTGTACAGTAGCTTGAAGATGCAGAGCACAATGGAAGTACTAAGTATTTGACTGATCACCTGCTACCAGAAACTGACTGGATCTGCTATAGAGAATGAAATACTCTATCCTGAGAAACCTTCTCAGCCATGGAGGCAGGGCTGGCACGTTCAGCTAAAGGTTATCACCTGAGTTGCAACTGTATCTTCACTTTGACACAGGGACTGAACTGACAGCACGGTCAGTGAACTGAAGCACGACACTGTGCTGAGCCAACTGAAGTGCTGAATGAATCAGCATGTGACCATTCTGTTTATTGTTGTTTTCTTACTTAGTTAATTTTCGCTTACCTGAAAGTCAGAAGCCCAAGTGCCTCCAGAGGATTAGAAAATCTCCATCTCCTCAACAAAGCATACATTTCTGATACAGTCATTCGATCCCAACTGGGTGCACTGCCCAGTACCAGAGGAAGGGAGCAATTTTGATTATTGCAGTAGTAACGATAAAACCATAAGATTCTTCTCTGTTGCTCTGAGAGTCTGGAAGAGAAGATTAGAAATTCAGGTTGAAATTAAAACCACCTGGAGCTTTGTGTAGCAACAAACTTTATTGTACAGAGGGGCCAAGTCACACAGTACGCTGCTTTTCGGCTATGTACGTGTTTTCGTTGGGGTAAGGTATCATTTTCTGCAGACCAGCTTTCATAAGAAAAGTGATACTTATACACTGGGTCTGTCAGCCTTGGGTCATAAAAAAAATGAAGTGTCAAAAGACACACATATATGGTTATTTCCCTTCCCAAGCACTCTCATTTTTCTCCTCTTTTCTGACTGAGACAAAGAAGGTGCAGTTATCACCAGATAAATTATTGTTACACCCATCTGCTACACATCGTCTCCAACTACTACTGTAACAACTAGACAGGCAACACTACTAACCATTGCTTTCATTCCTGCCCTTGCTTTGGCTGTTCAATGCAGGTATGTCTATCTTTAGTGTACTAGCATTTAAAATAGGGTTTAGGCACACTCATGCACATACACAAGAACATGAGCACATGTGCGCACACGCACAGTGCGATTATCCCTAGAATGGCATGAGATTGGAAGAGGGAAGAAAAGATCCCAGAAGATTCTGTCTGTTCAAAAGGCCTAACATGCAGTGCTTCACTGTACTCACTTGCAAAAAGGGATGCAGTACCATATTCATCATAGAGATATTAGGTATCTGACACATTGATAAGACGGTGAGTCATCACACCGCATTTTACCACACTGAGAAATGCCCCAGAATAATTTTTGCTATATATCCTCTGATTTGTCAAGAATTAAGATATCTCTGCCTCATGCATATTAAGTTCTAGGTATTGATACCATCAGAAAACAGAAAAAGAAATTCCCCATGACTGACAAGCTCAGACTATCTCCTTAATTTGATATCAGAGACTTCAAAAGCAAGCTCTGAGAGTGCAAACTGACCTCCAGTTCACAGAAATCATTACTGAAACCAAGAGGAACATTTGTTTTCCGGGTCATACTTGACCAGATTGGCGATCCATCCACTTACTAACATAATGTAACTCTGACTTTAAATGGATCTAGGTATTTCAGGTGTGAAAAACTTTGTAGAAGGCTGTAAGTAAAAAGCTCCAACAAAGTATTTTGTTATCCATATGTGTAAGCAGGGTTCAAAATCCAAGTGTTTACATTCCTTCCAAGGCCTTCTTTCTTCTATTAGCAATGTTTTGGTACATTCTTGGCCAAAAAACTATCTTAGCCCTGCTCTAACTGTGAAGATTGTGGCTTTCACAACTCATAGCAATGAGTTCCTTTGGCTCTGTAAGCTCTGGAGGACTTCTTTTCTTTGTAGTTTTGGATTGCCAAGTATTTAGGAACAGGGCGTGGTGGTAGAAAGATGGCCATGTTCCCTACTGTCACAAGAGTGTATCTTTATTTCTTTCCTTCAGGAAAGGAAGCTTATAAATGTATGTAGAAGATGAACCTAACTAGGACACAAATTCTGTCATGACTTTTAGTAATCATTTCAAGCACAGCATCATTTTGGTAACCGTTTCAAGAAACAGCTTCAGCATTCACAGCATGTCTATTGTGTTAATAGAGAGCTGTCTCTGCTTGTGTGAAGAAGTCACACACAGAAAAAGAGAGAAAAGTAGGCCTAAGATTTATTGCTTTTCTGGTTTTCTTGTGCATTCAGATGGTATTCTGCAGGACAGTTCAGCTAAATGACGCCGTTTATATGTTAGCTTTAAACAGGGATTTAAGCTTTCAGACAGCATCCTCCAAACTCTACAATCTGTTGTTCAGATTAAAGCAGCTAAAGCCTCTACTGAGCTTACAAAGGGAGATAAGAAATCAATCCTTGTATCAAGTTTTTTAAATAACAGATTTCTCCCTCTGACTTCACTCCAGAGGCAATGCCATTTTCTCTCCCTGTGCTTTAAAGATCGGAGTTGAAATTAAAGGTTGAGTGGGGTGGGGTATTTTAGGTTTTCATTTTAATTTTTTTAGTTGTAACAAGATTTACATATGCATGTAATAGTACATTTAAGATGGACTGTAAAAGCACTTTGCATACATACAGCATCTGGAGATTGTTAGCTGATAAGACTCAATAGGGATCATATACTATGAAACCTTCTTTGTTGATAAAAATGCAGGGTCTGGCTTTTTTGGTAGAGTTGTATCTAAACAGTTACATTAAAATATATAGCCTTCTACCAAACAAATAAAAATATCTTAAAACCTAACTAATTCACTAGTTTTCAGTTTGAAAGTTTTCATTAATGCCTCTAGCTAAAAAAAGGAAACAGCTTCTGCAAGAGCTTTGTTAGCTGGTCTTAATTATTATTTCTTTTGTGAGGGAAATGGCAAAAATGAGTTGAAATGCTTCTGAGGTGTGTTTGTTCTTCATGTTCAGTACTAAAGCTGAACAAGACAAAAGGCAAAAAGAGGAAAGAGCAGCAAATCTAGCAGATGCAAATTTCTGTCCCCCGGCACGGATTCCCACTTGCAAGTTTCTCTCCTGTGGACAGACTAGCAAAGTGTGCAGCATCACTGCAGTCTTCTAGACCTGTCCCACTATTCACCCAACTGCAAGTAGCTTTTCTAACCACAATTCACAGCAATGGCGCTCTCGAGATGACTCATAGACAAACTAGATTCTTACCAGGTAAGTGGCAAAAAAAGAAAAGAAAAAGGGAAGCTGAAAGGGAGGAAAAGCTAAGGTAGAAAGAAAACAATGGATGAAGGAACAAAAGACAGCAGAAACAAGACTGTCATCTTCCAGGCTTCAAATCAGTCTCTGATCCTTACAGTGGGAGCCACTGTGCACAAGCAGGCTGTAACACGTTCGAGGAGCAGCTCTTATCTCAGATAACTACTTTTCTCAGGTTTGTATTTCCAACACAGTAATCCTAAAAGGAATCAAAGACCCACATCTGAACTGTTTTCAGAAGCCAGCCAAAGCTGCTGGCAGTACCTAATGAAATCTCTTGGTCACCCCTCGCTTGCCTGGTTTGGTGATGACGCCAAAGATCACAGAGCAGCACACGGTGTAGGGCTGCAAGGAGCACAACAGCCATATGGTGAACATCATTTCCTTCAGTCCCACTGATCAGCATCCAAGAGATGCTGGCCATGGGCACCAGTGATCTGAGCCAGCTACCAGAAAGACAAGGGGTCCAAGAGTCAGGCTGCCCAGGGAGGTGGTGGAGTCACCATCCCTGGATGTGTTTAAGAGACGGGTAGATGAGGTGCTGAGAGATATGGTTTAGTGGTGGACAGATACGGTTGGACTGGATGATCTCTAAGGTCTTTTCCAACCTAGTGATTCTATGATTCTCTACTAGGAAGACCATATGTCTGGATAAGCTATCAGGAAAACCCATGTCTGCGTAACAGGAAGGCATCCAAGCACCAGCAACAGGAGTGTGGTCGTGAACCTTGAGGGCTCAAATGTCTGGCTGTCAACAGCTGGGGAGAGCATGCAGATCTGGGGCCAGCTACAGGATTGACTGAACCCAACTACTGCAGCAATTAATATTTTGATACTATATATCTAAATCTATGAATGGATGTCTATGTATTTCAGCAGCAGACTGATCCTGATGAGACAGAAAGGAAGAACAGAATCGGTCTGAGCTGTCCATTTTTCAGTAGTGCTACACATTTGTGTGTGCTGGTAAGGTGCTGTTTGATGCTGAAATACCAATTGATTTTGAAACACCAATTCTTTACCTTTAACCAGTTTTCTTCCATACCTGTAGCAACTTCATTTCTTTAACAATCTGATGCGGAACTTCAGCAAAGTTTTTTTGACATCCACCAAAGCCCCAACATCCATGCACCCACTGGCAACCTTCTAGGACAGCCACAGGTTGGTCAGGCAAGATTTCTATTCACAGAAGCCACACTGGCTCTTTCCTGACACATTATTCTGCACTTAGCTAAATGCTTAAGGATCTTATTCCTTCTTGCAGAACCCACCATTTTACCATGATCAGAGGTCAGATGCATTGGCTTAAAATTCCCCAAATCAATTCTGGAGCACCTTCTGCAGGTAGAAATTTTTATGACAACTTGCCAGTGCCCTGGCCCAGTGGCTATTCACAATAAAATTGTGACCTTGCATTCATACTTAAAAATAAAATAAAAAAAGAACAAAGCCACAGATTCCAGGGTTAATAAAAACAAACTTACATTTCATCTTGTCTTTTTAAAAGTTGAATTAAACTTCAAATACACTAGCAAGTTTGTCTGTCTTTTTAAAAATAATATTATTTTTAAAAAAATTTAAAAAAATTTGAACAACCAACACAGATATCAGCACAGAAAAGTCTTCTGAACAGGTCTGTCATCACACTGGGAGGGCTGCAGTAGCTTTAAGTTATGGTACAGCTGATGTACCTTTTGGCCTTTGCTGGAGGATTAATTGACACAATTAACAGTGATTGGTATAATGGCTCTCTGCAAGCACCTGTGTTCCCAGTTACACTCTGATTATATCTGAAATTACTTTATAAAGTACACGACTGTAATGGAGTGTGTAACATACATATAGCTGGGCATATTAGCCTGCCCCAGTATAGACAGTGTGTTTCGTTTCACTTGATCTTTATTCACCTTCTGTGAAAGATGAACTTTCCATACTTCCTTCATTGCTTATAATTTGACAGATTGTTTTAATGGTTATATGCCATTTTTCATGGAATGCAAAAGTTTTCTTGCTAATACTGATGTAGACTTATTGCACCACCTGAAAAATCTTACGTTTTCAATCACAAATCAGTTTCTTGCTTCAAAGTCACAAAAAGATATAGCAATAGAAAGGAAAAACCCACTCCTTTTCCAAACTGGTAAAATACACTGCCATCTCCAGGTGCTTATTGAGGCTTTGCTGTGATCCATTTCCTCATTTAGAGTTGTTACTTCTCAAATCAATCAAGCTAGGCTTCTTCAGAGGAAAAATTTGTTTTAAAGAATTGGATACATTTAATTGTGATCGACAGGATAAGTACAGCAAGGCAGGAATCAGCAGGGCTAGCCGGCTCCAACTTACAGCAAGAGAGAAGGTGTCCGTGAGAGTCTTGTGAGATGCTTCAGGCAGTCTTTGGTTGGCTCGTCAAGATCCCCTCTTCTTTCTTCAGGTTCAGGTTTAATGAACTCTAAATTAGTTTCTGGAAAGTCAATCTTTATTTAAAAGTAAAAAAAAAGAGGAGAAAGAAGTCCTTTTAGCAATACGGATTCTCAGATACAACTGTCAATAAATGTTATCTTGAATTTGTACAAGCAGCATAGGAAATATGAGAGAAGAGGTGTTAACTCTGAGGATGTTCACAGTATGTATTATATTACTTAAATACGTTGGTGATAAACTCAGTTCATGAATATCAGCAGAAGCTTTGTCACTGACTTTCCTGGGAGAATTACATCTGCTGTATTTAAATTTCATTAGAATTGCATGAACCCAAAGCTGAAGTAATTTTTTTTCCTTTTTTGCTCCTTTCCTGATTTTTATAAGACTGTACTTAAAGGGAAAACTTCCATTAATATAGATTTTTTTGGCTAGTTGGTTTTTGGGTTTTTGTTTGTTTGTTTCTAAAAAGTAGGGATAATTCTGAGGTATAGTTTGCATTTATTGTTTGTATATATTTCTGAGGTACAGTGTAAGAGGTGGAAATCAGATTCCTGATTTCCATTCAGGTTGTTCAATTTCATGCACAGTCCCACCTTTTTTTTTTTTCTTTTTTTCACATATGTATTGGTGTCAGAAGTTTAGGATAATGTTTTTAAGACACAGAGAAAGAAAAAAATCAACCAAAACTACAAAGCTTGAGGTCCTAAATAATCTGAGGACAGACTTAGATGAACATTCAGGCTGTTCTTCAAAATTCAGCACAATTTGCACATCCTGTTTTAGGGGGATGGACGCCATAATCTCTTATAGAATCACAGAACGGTTTGGGTTGGAAGGGACCTTAAAGACCATCCAGTCCCAACCCCCTGCCATGGGCAGGGACACCTTCCACTAGACCAGGTTGCTCAAAGCCTCATCCAGTCTGGCCTTGAAGACAGCTATATCTGTATCTATTTTTTTATCTATACCTATTTTTTAAAATAAATGTATTTGATATGCATCACTCTCCTAAAGGTGAACAAAGTTATTCTCTCCAACATGCATCTTATCCGTCACATCAGAAAAGCTATCTTGATGACATTTCCAGCATGTTCACAAATCGTGATACTGTCACATGCATGGGAATAACTGAATATGAGGAGAGTTCTACTGCTTTCAGCAGAGACAGTTTATAAATTAATAGCCATTTGCCATCTCAATGTCCCTTTATTATTAATAGGGGAAGCTATTTTAAGGCATCGTCTTTGACTGAACTCCTCAGACTAGAAAATCCCCGTTTGCTTGTCTATTAAAAAAATAAGGCATTTTTAAGCCAGCCCCATTTATCTGTATTATCTGCTTTTACATCCTTTGCAAATAGTCATTCAGATAATAGAGAAAACAATTGGCTTTGCCCTTAAAGTATCCAGTTGTTAATTTAACCTGGAAAGGTGACAAAACTACTGTGCAGACCTAATGCTTTTTCAATACCGGGAGCACCATTCTGCCCAGAATGAGTGGGTGCTCAGCATGCAGCCATCGAGGGAGAGCTGTACTGATGCCTATTGACAATTTGCTTGCGGCCCCTTCTTTTACAAATCCTTTATGCTACTTAGTCTCATTGCAAGCTGTATGTTACGTTCATAGCAGCATGCAATTCAATAGTACTCAGAACCAAAGCTCAGATTTGAAAAGACAGCTGTAAGTCACATACCAAGTCATTAATCTGTGTAAAAAAAGTATTTTTGGAGCCAGAATCATAACAATAAAAATTACCTTAGAAAAAGCTTCTCCGGCCTTCAGAGGTGGCATTTGATAAGGAAAGTATCATACATATTTGCCACCGTACAAAATGACTTCCATCCATTAAGATTAACATGCTGTCTCCAAGCATGTTAATGGAAATAGGATTTTTAATTTGCGTGGTCTTGATGAGCTGTGGGAACAACCCTTTTTTTTTTGCACTTTGTTAGAAAAGAACCCTTTCCTTTGCTTTCTCCCTTTCTTACCTGCAGCATTACCGAGGACGGTGTATCAGCATTGCAGATGCCCGGGGTGATCATCGTTGTCGTAAGCGTGCTGTCCAACGTCATGCTAAGCAGCACGCTTCCACGTACGAGCTGCCTGCAATACAGGTAGACAGAAATACTGCATCAAGTGAACAGGGCTTACTGAAATTATATCAAAGAACATGCAACTGGATAGCTTAAAAGTTAAGCAAAGGGAGAACAAACCTTTTATCTCCATATGGCTCCTACAAATCTGGCCTAGATGAGTAGGGGTTGTACACTGATGGCCTCACTGCTGTAGTGGTGTCTGTGCAGTTGCAGGGATCATGACACAAATCAAGCTGCCAAAGACATTCCAGGTCAGCTCTGCGCTTTACCACTTATTTCTTTTGTGACAGGGGTTGCCATTTAAAGCTAGGTGTACAAGGATAACACATTTCTATCTTGGGATTTAATTTTGAGGACACACACGTTAGAGCTTGTGAAGTATCAACACACTCTATCAGGTGAGGGGCAGTATACATTTATTCCACAAAAAGAAGAAACTCAAGGCAACCTCCTGCAGCCATGAGGGATCCTTGCTGATTTTGTGTGTAGATGGCAGAGAGGCCTGAGTATGACATCCGAGTCTCCACAGAGCTGAAACGAGTTTGAGTGGGATAGTATGTACCGCATGTGCTGCATAGGGTTTTTTGGACAGATAGAAGGCTATGGTCTGGAGTACCAGCCTGAGGACACGTGTACAAGAAAGCCTTTTCAGAAACAGGCAGGCACATGGTCTGCAGATAAGAAAACCAGCATGATCTGGCAGGTTAACACAATTTAATCTAGAGAACTTGAATGAAATCAGAAAGTTCAGGTGTAAATTCTAATCATACTCAATCCACTTGAATTAAGAATACAGTACTTGAATAAAGGAAGATATCTGGATTTACCCTTTAATCTGTCCACTTCTCAGTAGTTAGTGAGGTCAGATATTTGATTATGTTCAACATCTCTTACTGACAAGTAATTTTTATTATGATGGTTGAGAGCTCTGCTCAGTCATTACTACTGAGAGAATAAGCTAGATTCTCTTCTGCTCATTGCAACAGAAGCTGCCAGCCAGGCAGCTGAGTTTTGAGTACACAGCTTTTACCTCAGATGAGGATGTTAGAGGTCCAAGAGAACCTAGACAGGCTTTTTGATCCCAGCATGAATCTGCAACACTGCTGTAAAAAAGCACCTTCTGAATTGCAAACTGAAATAAATTATTGCCAAGTCATCTGAAGAAGAAATAAGAAACCCACACAAAGCAATTTTTATAGTCAACACTCAGTGTAAACCTAATTCAGGGCTAATTTTTCTTTTTCCCTTCTCAAGCTATTCATGTTAGTGCAAATACTTTATTGTGAGAACACAACCCGGGAGGATTAAAGACAAAACCATTTTCTGAAGTTTCTTTTGCAGCTGTAGGTGTATTTTCAGGGCAACGGAGGCAGAAAAAGGAGTCGGGATGCAAAGATAGCCTTCATGAGAAAGCAGTTGTGTGATATGCAGTCTTTCACATTTAGGTCACTGATGCGAATGTGGAAGTGATTCAAAGTCATTTTTCTGTGATGTGTACTCAGATGACCTTCTGATGCATCTCTTCAACTCCTTGTTTGTGGACAGTGGTTTACATCATAATTTGGACTAATTGGCACTTTTGTTAGGAGGGAGAGAAGTAGCCGAGAACTGAATGAATGCAAAGAATAAATTATCCTTTTAAGCTCTCATTACTGCTAATCACTTTCATATTGTGCTCTAAAGCTATAGAGGGCTTTAAAAAATAATCCATGCAGTGGATGCTTTTTTCCTGGGAAACCTGGAAATCTGTCTAGGCAAACACAAGAAGCAGCACAGACCTCAGAGGCATTGTAGGTGTGTTTGAGACATTTCCTGAGTTCATTATTTCAACTTATTTGCACCCAGTGCAGACGTAGCTACAGACTGTCCAGGAAGATAAGGAAGAATGGGCAGTGTCCTCAACCAGAGAAACAGCAAGGAAAGCCATGTATCTTTGCTGGACTGAGAAGAGTTCACAAGTTAAAGCAGATGACAGGACTGAGCAAAACCAAAGACATTAAACCAGTGCCACGGTATCATGACATGTCCTAAGAAAAAATGAATTAGTTGTAAAAACTAGACACATGTTTATGCCTTGTATATAGAGTAGCCTAATTTATATGTTTACGAATAGGTGAGCAACTTACGTTCTTCCATCAGTAAGTCTTACTACAGCAGAAGACAACACTGCTACTTAAGGACAGCTCGAGTTACCCTATCTCAACAAAATCAACCTTGTGTCCTTAAGTCACACGGGAGTCTTCCCTCACCAAACCCAGGAAGAGGAAAATTTTCTTGCTTGCTCTGTCTGATTTGGAAATACCAGTTTAAAATAAATTGTGTTGTTAGAATCAGTGAAGTCAGAGCAAAGGACACTGTGGGGGCCATTACAACTCCCAGCTTGCCCCAGAGGATGGATTTCTGAATTGTTAATTAGCTCCGGATCACTAAACTATTCAGCCCAAGAGACATACACATTTTTCTGATGTGAAGGAATGGAAAGTTGGCACACGGCTTGCAAACACTTTTCAAACTGCCTCTTGTGTCTAATAAGACTTCTTGATACAGATGCACCATCAGGGCTTTATTGGTATTGATTTAGGGCCACTATCTAAAGTCAACTACCTGATAAGGATGAGAAATGTGGATGTGGAGGCTCACCTACTGGACAAGTTGGCAGCAGCAATCATTATTACCGCATTCATTCCCAAACGTACTAGAGTTACTGTTTAGATTGCATATACCATGAAAAAGAGGACAAAATACAGTGTAAAAAATAATTTAATTATCCCCAAACCTGACATTAAGCCTTAGAAATTCAGAGTTGAGTTTAAATGTAAAGGGAAACCAAAGCTGCTGAACTAGAAAACCCCCATATCTTACGGCCCAAGCCCTCCTAATTTTGCACTGGAATGATACTGTGAAATAAGTACTTCATTATAATTACAAATGCTACAGCATTCTAGAAGATTCAAATTAGAGATATGATTTTCACCTGCAAAGTAATGCCAAATGTCCTACAGAAACATCTTCCATCCTCACAGTTTATAGTTTAAATAAATTTCAGAAATTGGAAATGTGCTGAATACAGCAAATACAAAATTAGCATATTATTTAGACTTGTAAAACAATTTTACAGTTATGTTCCCAATTCTTTCCTAACTTTTTCCCCAAAACATAGCTAAAAAATAAGTACACAAGCAATATTTTTAAAGCAAACAACATTTAGGAAAAGTTTGGAGAAAATTTGGAGGAAGTCAATTTTGTAAAGAGTGAGACTATTTGTACAGAAACATGCAAAGCTGATAAGCAGTAATCCCAACACACATTTGATAGAGTATAGTGGCTGCCCTGGATATCCATCAGCTACTCCTGTTCTAAATCAGCATGTTGCCAGACAACTGTCAAGACAGTGAGAGATATTACTGGATTTCAGAAAATAATGCAAATTAAGCAAATATGACGTTTACTAAACACCTGTTCACTGACAAGTCTTTAACAACACTACCACCAAAGAAAGGAACATTCAACAGGCCAAATTCTTGAGAACATTTTTAGGCATTGTGTGGTTTCAACATCGGCAAGTTATGGAGAAGAGATTGTAATGAGAAATTAGCATTTCAACAAGCATTAACAACAAGTAATATGCTTTATTTAAACAGTTGGGTTTTGCTTCTACTTTTTAATATATTTCTCACTCTGCTTAGTCAGTATTCTTTTAGAGAAGAACCAGAGTGTTAATGTCTTATGAAATAGCTACAGCCCTTTGATCTGGCAAGGGACTTTGCCATGGTCTTGCCCAAAAGCACGAGCAGCTCTTCATACTTTTTGAAACAGTTGAAAGGAAACTGTATACTTTATATGTTAAAATAAGTTCTGTTCTTAATTTTCAGTTAAAACTAAACAAAGAATTAAAATAAGAAGGAGAGAAGTGACCATACAATTACAATAGCTACTTTCTCTTCAAAATGGCTATCAAATTTACAGAGAGAAGTAAATTCAGTGTCTTTTAAAAGAAAGTGTTCCTTTGCCCTAGGTCACTCAGAGATCAAGATTCCTAAGTAATATCAGGGAATGACTCAAAACTGGTAATTCTTGTTCCTCTTCTGTTGCCATAAGCTACAAATAGCTTGAACAGAATTCTTGTGTTTTTAATCAGAGAAAGATATAATGGGACTGAAATCAAGAACTGTATTTTTAAAATGTTTGATATTTTCTTTTTCTAGTGTTTAGCAAAAACAACAACAAAAAAGTAATGATCGTCTGAACAGAGATAAAGAGATGACACACTGTCCTTATCTTTGCTGACCTTGAGAAGAATGACTCAGTGACCAACTCGGACAAGGATTTGAACAAGGATGTTTGATGACCCAGGCAAATACCTCAGGGCTACAGGCTTCTTCAAAGAGCATATTTCCATCCTTTCCTCTCTAAATTAAATCCTAGACATGAGAATATTAATACATTTTTAGAACTCAAATTAATCTCTGAGAAAAGTTTTCTTTTGACAAACTGGTATTTCCCAAGTTAGAAATGTTTTGTCAAAGATTTCCTGGTTATATTTCTGTCATCTGTTTACATACATTTACAGAGTCTGTTTATTTAGAGACCCTAATACCATAATCTTTGCAATAATGCAAGGCACTTGTGACAGATTAACATGGCACTACAGGTACAGATTTTTCCTTGGAACACACTTTCAAGTTCAGAAGTACTCTGCTGAAGTAAGTCTTGAAGATTAGTTGCATTTCAGCAGTGGGAGTGCAACTCCCCAGCAGGGGAGTAAAGTTGGGTTCACTGCTCAGTGTATTAATGTTTTCCATAATAATTGCTTTTATTTGACTCGCCAATTTTAACTTCTAAAATTTTGTGGAGAAGGAAATGGAAGTCCTACTCTTGCTTCTCAATTACTTCAAATAACTGATAGCATTACCTATTAAGAAACACCTGGCAGCTTTAATCCTGCTATATTCTAAAGAGGTAAGCCTGCAGGCTAGTTTACCAAAAAATACTCATGATCTTTCAAAGATAAGGAAAAGCAGGCTGGGCAAATGTTCAGGTATTTTCAAGTTTCACATTTCAGAAGGAATTTCAGGGCTACCTATACTTTTAAATCAGTCTATCAATTGAAATCATGGTGAATGAATAATTATAGTTATGAATAATAATTTGTGGAGTTGTGGTTGGCTAAAAGAGGAAAAAGCATCTAGGCTTCTTTGTGTAAGTAATTACTATTATCATAAATGACACAGCTAACAGTTTAGGAGGTGTTGAACATGCTATTCCTAAATCATTCCTCTCCAACAATTCAACTTGTATTTCTGCTTTGAAGGGTCATCACAGCAATGAACTATACAATTATACAGCGTATGGAAGACAAGTAACCCTCTCTCCCCTTCACTGTGCTGATTGTGTGTACCATCACAGAATGGAGCCATTTTTCTGTAAAATTTTCAAGACTGTCTGGATGACTTGGAGATCTACCTAATGAAAATCAACATGCTAGTTCTGATGGCATACACTGAAAGCTATACATCACAGGGAGCTGAGAGCTTTCAGAGCTTCCAAAAATTGGTCCTTTGGGACTTGGATATTGGAAAATAAAAAAGCCTCACAGGTCATCAGAAATAGTGTGGTGTATCGGGAACACTGTGGCCAGCAGAACTAGGGCAGGATTGTCCCCCCGTACTCAGCACCGGTGAGGCCACAGCTCGAGTACTGTGTTCGGTTTTGGGTCCCTCACGACAAGACAGACACTGAGGTGCTGGAGCGTGTCCAGTGAAAGGCAACGGAGCTGGGGAAGGGTCTGGAGCACAAGTCCTGTGAGGAGGGGCTGAGGGAGCTGGGGGTGTTCAGCCTGGAGAAGAGGAGGCTGAGGGGAGACCTTATTGCTCTCTACAACTACCTGAAAGGAGGTTGTAGGGAGGTGGGTGTCAGTGTCTTCTATCACTTGTTAATTGGGAGGACAAGAGGAAAGTTGCACCAGGGGAGGTTTAGATTGGTTATTAGGAAAAATTTCTTCACTGAAAGGCCTGTCAAGCATCAGAAAGGACTGCCCAGGGAGGTGGTTGAGTCACCATCCCCGGAAGTATTTAAAAGACATAGGCATGTGGTACTTAGGGTCATGGTTTAGTGGTGGACTTGGCAGTTCTAGGTTGGACTCGATGAACTTAAAGGTCTTTTCTAACCTAACAGATTCTATGATTCTATGTCATCAAGAACAGGATTCTCACATATCCCATTTACCTCCAAAAGGGCCCCAATTGTTTCCCAATTAAGTTATCATGCCTGAGCTCTGCTTCTGCATGCACTCAGCACATACCAGCTTGCTGGGGATGAGGACACCTTAACACTTCATCTCAATTTAGATTCTCAGCCAAGATATTACCTCTATTTCACCTAAGAACTAGGATGGTAAAAAGATACACACAACGGAAGAGTGAGTGATGTGCTTTTCTTCAGACTAAATTAATGAAAGTTATCGAATAAAATGCCCAAGGAATACTTGGAGCAGAAATTTGATTCATGTTACTTTTCTTCCTTCAAGCTAAGTGCTTTAATCACTAAATGACCGAAGAAAGCTCTCTTTTTCTGAATAGGGTAACCTCAAATTTTCTTTTGAAGAGATGGAAAAATCCTCTAGCCCAGTCCAGCCTATTTTCTAGTGTTTTAAGTATCTCAGCTAAAGGTTCAATGGATCCCAAGCTTTTTCAAACATAGTAAATTCATACACGGAGTCAGATCTGTTGGTTTGTTTTAAATGGTGAATGCGACCATACACAGAAGTAGATGATGATATCTCAGGATGAGCAAAGAGCTATAGCTTAGAGATGGACGCAATGTAGAAGCTTGTGAGGCTTGAACAGACCCATCTATTGCTCTGAGGACATGCAGGGCTAAGGAATCTAAATAAAAATCAAGTATCATTGTAAAGGCTCCATCTAAATTCATATATCTCAGTGCTACTACAGTATATTCAGGACACTACAGAAAATTTACCTTAGATCAATGTTTATGCATCACTGCAGAGACATTCAAGGCTACAAGCATCTTTAAACCACTGTTACACTGTGTAGTAAGAAGAGGTTAAAGAAGGAGAAACCTTCTGAAGTGGTGTGGAGAGGGAAAGGCGCTCAATGAGATCATCACTAACTGCCCCGCTCTGAGCGGAATGATTTGCTGCAAGAACAGAATGCGGACTGAAAAATCAAGCATTGCAAACAAGAGGCTACGCTGAGAAGCATTTCTAAAGCTACAGTAAAGGAGCACAGCAAGGCCTTTCAACAGGCCTAGGGAACTTCACTGCAAGTGATAAGTTGCACAAGCCAAGTTCAAAACCAAAGTATTTGAAAGAAAAAAAAGCTTATGGATGGGGCTCTTAGTGGCACCTCATGAGCAGTTTACTCTAAGTGACTGTCTCAATCTTATTACATCAAGGTCCTGAAATGAGTATTTCTGTCTTTTTATATTTCTCCCAAGCTGAGTGCAATACTATTCAAGAATGGTCTTTTCTTAAGCTGCCATACAAAATTGAACTTACTCTTTTGGATACAATGGGGAGCATGTCCAAGCAAGCACTTCTGTATTTTTAGAGGCACTGTTTACTCCAAGTAGTTTTATTGTCAGCATAGTTTCCCTTGGAAGAGCCTTTATTCGTAAAGGAAAGTTGATTCTAAAAGAAAAATCAGAAAAGAGAAAAAAAATAAACAGTTTAAAAAAAATGAGCATTGTTACCACAAGGGAGTTCTTTCTACATTTTTCTAGATGCCTTAACACATACATCAAGCTATAAATTACAGGAGCTGCACTCTGAAGGAAAATGCAACTGACACATCCCTTCAACAGATCAATGAGTATTGCCAGCCATTAACTTCGGTCATAGTACTTGAGAAGAAGTATATAAAGTCATTCACATCAGTGGTAACCGCCAGAGCTGAGAAAGGCAGGGAAAGCTTAGTTAAACTTTTGCTTTACAATTTCCTTATAAACAAAGGGCTATTTCAAAATAAACATCCCTTAAGGATGAATTGTAAACTAAAAGGGATTTGCTGTTTTGTGTCTTTAGAGGAAAACACTACTCAAGAAACTAGAAGTATTTCCTAACCACAACTTAAAGGCAGGTTTTGTATTAACAACAACGAGCACTTTGCATTTTTTAGTGAGAAAAAACAGATCAATCAATATGCATCTCAGCTTTGTATTCACCATTAGCGAACTTGGTTGGTCATTCAATTTGTTTATATAGATTATGTGAATTGATTTAAAAACCATAACTTAGAAGAAATCTAATAAATAGGAATATGGAAAAATCATGCATGTAACTACCTAGACTTGTGCAACCCTATTTCCTCTTTCCTGAAGAGAACTCTTATGGTAGATAGTGCACTTTTAGCTTTTTCCGTGTATATACATTAGAAACTTAAATTTATCAAGGGGAAAGTGAAATTAATTACACTTTGCTGTATAAATATAATCCATATAGGGAGCTAAAGGCCAAAAGAATTATTCCACATTGAGAACATAAGCATTAAGAAAACAAAAGATCTGCATAAACCTGAGATTAGAAGATAAATTTAAATAATATAGATTCCATTTGATTTTCAGATATTCAATCTATACTGGTAGAACAATAAAACTCCGCATTTTTAAAAAGGTATAATCATACTTAGGTATGCAGTAAGCAAATGTAGACATCAGTATTTTAGAAGTATAGTAGCCTTAAAAAACACAAGGTTTATGGGTAGCAGACACAGGACAAGGTAATAGGATAAGGAAATATTAGCATAAAAGTTTACTCCTAATTCCAATTCTATTGGAATTTTATTGGCTTCTGGAACGTTTCCTTGAATGCACTGAGAAGCCACTGAAAGAAAGTAGGCGGTTTTCAGATGCACTTCTGAAGTACTCCAAATTAGCATTAGTGTCAAAATTTCAGATTATTGGCCCTAAACATTTAGAAATTATTCAAATTTGCATACCTCTCTCTGAATCAGAAAGCAAGACAGCAATTTCTGACTCTTTATAATTAACATGAATAAAATTGAGAAGCAATTCTCAACTGTCTTCCTACGTATCCCTATTTATATCTTTCCACGCTGCTTTCCCTGTCTCATGCCCTCTTTCTCACTCATAATTAGTTAGAAACAATTATTGGGGAACCGAACTGTTTTAAACTCTATAGACAGCTTGTCTGTCTTTCTCACAGGCCAACAACTCTGCCCATGTTACATAAAACTGTTCGACAAAGAGCTACACAAATTTAAAGCATCGCTAATGCTGTGAAGAGACAAAAATTAAAAAAAAAACCAAAATCAAAACATGCATTTTCTAGTACAGACATTTGTGAACTTGGAGCAACAAACAAAAATTACAATAATCCCCCTACAGAAAGCAAATGCTTGCCAGAGGATAATTAGGAGGTCTCAGTCACTGAAAAATGAAACCGATGAGAAAATAAGAGGGAACTCTGGGATTTTACTGATCATGTGCTGGATAGTGTCACCCTGTTCGAACTCTGTACCCAGGTGACAATCACACTGTTCAAAAGATAACACACAAGTTCTAAAGCAAATGTATACTCTTAAAAAAGGACAAACAGAAGAAACACTAAAAAAGGCAACCTCCTTAGAAGCCAAATGATTCCCACCTTTTCTGAGAACATTCTGGGAAAGACTAAAGATAACAAGAAACTTCAACAGAAACTCATGTTTAAACACAAAAATGGATCAAGTTAAAGTTCAGACAGTAACTGGTTAACGTAACTTGAGAACAAAAATTAAATACATGAAAATCATCAAATAAATCAAGTGGTGTCTTTGGTAGAAACTGTATTTCTAATCCCAAAACACTACTTTCCATTGATTTGCCTTGTTTGAGTCAATCCTAATCTAGATCATGACTCATTTTGAATTAGCTAGGTTTATTTTTTGGCATGATTGATCCCTAATCGTATAGAGAATATTTGACTTCCTAATGTAATAGAAGGTCATCAGGAAGAGCTTCAACCACATGCATTTTCAATGGCTGTGATCAACTGAAAATGTTAGAATATAAGTAGTGTTTTGTGACTCAAAGCAAGAAACTTTACAAAAAAGAAATTGCCTCCTCTGTAAATTTTTTATTCAAACATACTCCCTCTGTTTCAGAATGGTTAAGTTATAGCCAAAAGATACTAAGTATGAACACAGCTTGCTTACAGTTTTGAGTGATTCAGATTTCCTACAATATGAAATGGTGCCTCTTGATGACACGAAAAACAATGGCAGTAATATTTACTTCATTAAAATACTCTATTCTTTTAACCAATCCCAACTGGAATTCTTGCAAGAAGTATTAATTAGTGTTTATATATATGTATTTATTGTAGGAAAGCCAAACCAGCTTGTTTTAAATTATGCCAGTTAGGTATGTAGCGCCTCCAGTAATAATATGGCAGTAACTCTACTCTTCCTCCTCTCTGTGTATTTGAAAATATTCTGAATATACTGATTATTCTGTCAAGTTTGGTGCTGTTTATTCTTTCTTAGGGGGTTAGCAGCACAAACAGAAAAAAACCCACATTTTCTCACTATAGAACTGTGACATGTATTTCATAATTAAAATAATTAAAACCAACATAAACATTTCCTTCCCTATGCATATTTTTATACAGGAGAGATCTCTGGCATCACCATCCTACCTAACATTCTGATACTGTACCAAAGTCACACTGTGGTAAACACAACACAATAAAGCAGTCTGTTCCTGTCTTTATGTGAAAACATTTAATTTTCTTGTTAAGTGATGTGTTAGATTGGGAATAACAACAGAATTTATTGTATGATCTCAGCATGTTGATGTCCTTCAGTAAACACCTGCTCTCTTTTCTGAGTAGTCTGCCTTGCCAACCCAGGAACATCTCAGTGCCTCAAGGAAAGTGAGACTTGTAGAATCACAGAATAAGCAAAAGCATGGCCTAGACAAGATGGCCCAGCACCTTCAGCAGCTGAATCTTAAAAGTGTCCAATGTTGGGAAATCCACCACTTCCCTGGGGAGATTATTCCAACAGTGACTGTTTGCATCATGAAAAATTTTCATTTTGTGTCCAGCCAGAATCTCCCCAGGAAGAACTTGTACCCATTGCTCCTTGGCTTTTCCATGTGACTCGTTCTAGAAAGGGAGTCTCCATCTTCTTTGTAGCCACCCTTTAAGTACTGGAACATGGATACATGTTCCATAAATACTGGATAAGCCTTCTTTTCTCGAGGCTGAACAAACCCAGTTCCCTCAGCCCTTCCTCACACGGCAGGCTGCCCAGTCCTCTGATCATCTTTATGGCCCTTCTCTGGACCCTCTCCAGCCCGTCCTCACCTTGTCTGCATAGCAGGGACCAAAAGAGAGCACAGTATTCCAGGTGTGGCCTGACAAGCCCTAGGAACTGTGGGATAATTACTTCTTCACCTCTGCTGCTGATGCCCTTGTTGATGCAGCCCAGAACCCTGTTGGCTTTCCCTGATGCAGCAGCACGCTGCTCACTCGTATTGAGCTTGTTGCCCCCAGGACTCCCAGGTCTCTTTCCACACATGGGAAGATCCCAGCCTGTGGGGCACTCACACTGGATTATGTTTTCCCAGGTGCAAGACCTTACACTTGTCCTTGCTGAACTTCATAAGGTTCTTGTTAGCCCACTCCTCCAGCCTATCCAGCTCTTCCTGCAGGGTGACTCTCCCTTCCAAAAAGTGTCCACTCCCCCACGCAGTTTGGTATTGTTGGCAAATTTCACCAGGGTACCCTTGATCCGTCACCCAGATCACTTATGAAGATATTAAGCAGCATTGGGCCCAAAATCAATCCCTGGGGGACCCCATGTGTGACAGGTTGAAGTTCAAAAAGGAGATACACAGCACCTCCCTCTGGGTTCAGCCTGTCAACCCGTTCCCCACCCACTGCACACACTTGTCAACACCGTAATCCATCCGCTTCTCTAGGAGGTGGCTGTGGGAAACCACACCAAAAGCCTTGGAGAAATCCAGGTAGACAATGTCCAGCGCTCACCTCACATCAGATGAGTGAGTTGCTTTATCATAGAAGGGGATCAGGTTTGCCAAGCCCCATTTGCCTTGGGAAATCCATGCTGGCTTTCCCCAGGAAGATTTATTTCATAACTTTCCCAGGGGCTGAAGAAAGATTGAAGGGCCAGTAATTTCCTGGATCCTCCTTTAAACCCTTCTTGTAGAAGGGGGTGACATCAGCCTTCTTTCAGTTTTCTGGGATGTCCTCTGATGTCTGTGACTTCTCAAAGATTATTAGGAAGGAAAGCTTTAGCTTTGTAAGACTGTTCGCTGATTTAAAATACTCATCTGACAATTGCATTGTGACACAAAAATAGCACCCGTTCACAAAATCCAGTTCTGGATAAAAGTTAAAACATACAAAAATAATGGCATATGTGGCTCCCTAGAATCTCAGCCTTCCTCAGATCATGAGGTCCAAGAAATGTGCCCTCAGGTTTTGAGACAAACAAATCTAGGCCAGTCTAGGTCTGAGGTGGAAACTATGTGAATATCTGACGACTGAAGAAAATAATGAAAAGCCTGCCAGACAGATGCATATTTTTGGGTTTGTACTTTGGAATTTATTTGAACTGGATTTTGAAAATTATTTTTGAAACTCAAGCAACAATAAGAAGTAAAAACATGCT